TGCCAGCCTCTGCCACCGCCCAACTCACCTGGCTGAGATCGTCCCCCAGGACCCATCCTTCTTCGGGGCCACTGACGCCGCCAAGGCTGGAATGGGCGGTGTCTACTTTGACTCCGAGGACACGCCGAGCTGCACTTCAGAAGATGGGGTATCGATCGAATACTGCGAAAGTGATCTGCTATGGTTCCTGGAAGTTGGGGGGTATAGAAATGTTTCGACTCGCTGACAAGCAGGGAATTGGGGTCATTCAGCAGTTCTTAAAGCACTGGAGGACGAGGTGCACCGACATTGGAGACCTAAGTGAAGTCACATACGCATGGCTGCAATTCCATGCCGGAATTGGCCGGCCCATCCTTGAGGATCTCGAAATCGATTGTCATCTCCCAGTCGGGCTGTTCCAATGCATGCGAAGGTTCCTTAAATCCATTGGAGGCACGATTGAAGTGCATAACGCTCACATTCCGCCGTTGCAGCGCGAGCAAGACTCCTACATTATGGATTGGGTGGGGTGGTATGGTAATTTCTCCGAGGCAGACCTGAAACGGATCAACTATGTGCGGCTTTACTTCCAAGTTGTCACGGTAGCTGACATCACAACGGCATGTGGCACATACATCCGGGAGGAGTTCTGGCATGGCTTTTCCAGTCCACTGATGCCTCGCACCACCTACTTCAAGAGATTTCAAGATCGACCCAGGGATCCCAAGACTTGGTGGTTGTGGAGGAAAGCGTTATCCCTTTTCGCTCCGAATCTGACTTTGGATGTACCCCTGGGGAGGTGGCTCGTCTCTGCTGACAAGCTCCGGATGCGCCACAGGTTCTTCTACGAAGTCGATGCCAATGTCGTCTATCAACAAGTTGACAATGAAGAGTCCGAATTCTGGATGTTCCAACATCCAGTCCCGAACAAGGACCGGACAGTTCATCGCTGGGAGTTCGGAGATGAGACCTACCTGGACGCCAGCATCCTGCACCACTCGGTGCCACTGGATCCCCACTTCCCCCGATCTTGCACCTCTGTTCAGCCAGACTCTGGAAAGCGGCGAGTCCTAGACCTGACCCTCTTCAACAAGCGTGAGACAGTGGTAGTTGGTAGTGGTTTCACAGCAGGCATTCCTGCTCGTCCACTACCACCCACACCAACAACATTTGAGGATTTCCTTGCCACTCTGGAGCCTTGGGAAACAGCTCTCTATGACGAGCTTGAGTGGATGGTGGACGCCTACTCAGTCCTGCAGATTGTCACAGCCATGCCCTTCTGGGTGGCCAGCGATGGGGCTGCAGACATTGAAGCCGGTAAGGCGAGTTTTGCATGGGTCCTGGCAGACAACCGCGGCCAAATTGTGCTTCGGTGCTCTGGTCCAGTTTTTGGTATGGTTCCGACTTCATACAGGGCGGAGGCCTATGGCATTCTATCCCCTACTTGCCTTCTTCGACGATTGCTGGAGTTCTACGATCAGACCAGCATGAAGAATTATGTACACTTATGCGACAATGAGTCTGTGACGAACAAGTGCGCTAGCTGTCTCGAGTATGAGGGATGGTACCCCAATGATTCGTTGAACTCCGACTGGGATGTCTTGCAGCAGATCGAGGATTCGTTCCGGGCTGCAGTCACTGTGCCCAAGATGGAGCACATCAAATCGCACCAGGACAAGCACAAGGCCATCGAAACACTACCCCTAAAAGCACAACTGAACTGCAAAGCTGACAAACTGGCAGGCAGTTACATGACCAGACACATCAAACAGGATCACTCCAAGGTACTCCGATTTCCGGCCAACTTGGCCCAGCTGCACCTTCCCAAAGGAACATGCACATACAAGCTTCCCAGAACCCTGCGGCATCTCAGGAACGACCAGCCCTTGTTTGACCACATTGTCAAACTGAATCCCGACTGGGACGAGGACACCCCTGCACTGGTTGATTGGACAGCCCATGGTAGAGCTGTCAACCGTCACGAGATCCACAAACCGACAATTGTGAAGTTCCTATTTCAATTGTTGCCAGTTGGGAAAGGGGTCCACCGAGACGACCCCAAGTACGATCACCACTACCCCCGTTGAGGTGGTGATCACGAGACTGAAACCCATGTTTACCGATGCCCGCATGTTGACGTGGATTTGTGGCGAGGGACCATGCAACAAGCGATCAGCACAAGGTTGCGCAAGGATTCCACCGACCCCTTCCTCCTGGAAATTGCTCTGGATGGACTACAATACAATTTTGAAGATCGATTCCTCCACCCATGGCATTACCCAGACAGGTATAGGGACCTTGTTGACACTCAAAATCTCATTGGATGGGATAACTTCCTGAGAGGATGTTTGTCCACGCACTGGGCTAAGCATCAAGATGCATATCTGCATCGGGTCGGCTCCCAGGAGACCACCAAGACAGGGCAGCTCTGGGTCACCAACCTAGCCTCACTGCTCATCGAGCAGTGGAGGAACCTGTGGGAGGATCAAAATGCTGCCAGGCATGGCAAAGGCAGGGAAGACCAGTGGAAGAAGAAGCACGAACAGCTTCAGCGGGAGGTGGAACTCATTTACGAGAAAGCGGATCTGATCCCAGCGGAGCTGGTGGATTTTATCTTCAAGTGACCAATTGACGAGCAAATGGCAAAGGGCCCAGGTGACATCAAAGCGTGGCTTACCAATTGGCTGCCCGTCGTCGACAAGGCTCTCAGGGACGAGCATGCACGCACAGCGCAGAACAATGACACAGGGTAACTATGCACAGAGGGGGTCTTACCGTAGAAATAGCTGGCAATCCAGCCAAGGGTCGCTAGTTAGTCGTACAGCACCCTCCGGAGTTTTGTTAAATTTCTCCGGTGGGGGGCTTACACTAGGCCCATCCTAAGTGGGCGCACTTGTGCGCCTGAGGTATATGGGTTCGTCACGGCACCGTTCAGCGGATCGTCTGATGAGGTGTAGCCTTTAAAATAAAATCTCGTTATTTTTTTCCCCTCTTCAATCGATCCAGGTGGCCAACACGGGGAGCTACTCGGAACGAAGAAAGCGTCATGACTGCAACTCCAACATCAAACCTTCCAAGGGAAATAGCCCACTGGATTCCTCCAATCAGGGACTGGTACTTGGTGATCCCATCATAATCCAACAGTGGGGAAGTATCAAGCTCCGGGTGATCATTCTTCTCAACAGGACTGGTCACCTTGGTGGACGGCTTCTCCCCAAAGAGGGTAAGGTATTGTGCTTCCAAGCGGTCAATGTACTTGAATGGTGACATTGTGAGTGTCCCATCCTCATCGCGTTTGAAGTTGCATCCTAGGTGGAACTCCACCTCACCAGTGCCCTTGAGCTTGAACTTGTGGGGCTCGGCCATCAGCCCATCTATGATTACCTGGGGCTCACGTGATGCAATGAGCAGGTCATCAACGTAGCACGCAATATACTCATAGTGGTCTCCTCGATCCTTCATCCAGATGTCAGACTCAGCGCGTGAGGGCTTGAATCCCATGGAGTAGAGCACATCAAACAACTTGTCATGCCAGCACTTTCCAGAAGATTTTAGTCCATATTGTGCCTTGATCATCTGCATTGTGTGTCCAGCCAGAGGTCCAAACTCGCCTCCGGCAATGAAGCATACCTTTTCAGTTGTGTAGGACTCCAAGTATGCATTACCAACATCCGTGGCCCACAACTCTAAGTCATTCAATTCCGCAATGAAGGTGACAAGGCGAATTCCTTGCAGAGAGACAACACCTGAATACACAGAGTCAGTTGGCGTCTCCGTTCTGTGTCCACCTGCCACAAACCTCGATTTGTTGCGTCCATCTATCTTAATGTCATATACCATGTGGCAGGGGATCTTCTGGAAGCCCTTTGGTACTGGCGCTCCGAGACCTAGGCTCTTGAACGTGTCGTATTCCAAGAGCTGTTTGATCTCGAGTTCTTCTGAGTCCTGCCATTTTGTGTTTCCATTCTTTTCGTCGATGAAGACCGCTTCAGCATGGTTCCTTGGAACCTGGTGCCCATACTTGTACACCGGCTTGTTCCGGAAGTTCTTCAGCCTGGCTTGGTGAATCATCCTAGCGAATTTCTTTGCATTCTTCGTGTAGGGTCTACACCGCTTCCATCCATTCACACCAACCAGGTTGTTCTTCACCGCATACAACGAAACAGAAACTGGATCATCATTGAAGATGAACCCCATATCTTCCCATGTCTTGCACCCAATTGCCCATTCAACAAGGATCTCAAACTTGGATCGTGTCTTGGATGGCCTGTGGTCTTGGACAGAGTCAATCTTAAACATGTCGTCCAGGTCAAGGTCACGGTCACACCATTCGAGCATCTTGGAGTAAGCCTTGATCTCCTCGAAACACTTGTCTCCATGCTTGCATCGGAATCTGAAAACAGCCTCCTTGCCATCAAAGTCAGTCTCACCTGTGGGCGTCGCAGAGACAATCTTGGCTCTTGCCTGCTCCCCATTGTCGTCCGGGTTGGTTATGAACGTTCGGTTGAGCAAACCTGACACATCAATGGTCGGTAGTGTGCCACCTTGGAGAATGTCGTCCTCTCTCAGGTGTGAGCTGATATCGTGCCGGATGGCGTCATGGAACATTGTAGCATCATGGGGCTCCCCAAGATCAATACCTTCTTCGATGGTCTTTGAGGGTGGCCCGTCCACAAATGGCTTGGGTTTGGGCGCAAGCTTGGGTGCCTGTGCATCGGCCTTCCAATTGGTGAATTCATTGCCTAGTCTTGCTGTTCTAGCGACAGCCCAATGGATGATCTTGTCGTCATCGGTGAGGATCTTGTACATCATGCCATGACCAACATACTCTGAGACGCCAACAAACCTCCCCACACACTCGGTTGAGTCCTGTGGGAACTTTGCATCATACTTCTGGTAATAGACTGGTTCATAAAACTCAAATTGAAGGAGTGCAGATATGTCAGGCGTGTACCCGTGTAACCACTCAAAGGGAGTTCTCCATCCAAGGCTCTCATATGCCATATGATTCTGCAGGGTGGTCACGTACTGTCCAGCAGCCAGCCAGCACTTAGATGGTGCATTCTTGGTGTCCAGCACCAGCTGCGTCTTGGTCTTGGTATCCTTCCATCCGTGTTCTGCATAGTTCTGATTCCCTCTGTATGGCTCAGAGGTTCGGTCGTTGATGCAAAAGGTCCGTAGGATGTCCTTGACCCATTGCTTGCCTGGGCCTGGGCATTGTCACTCCTGATGCAGTTCATTGCTCCAAACCTTCGGATGTTGTCCATCAGTGTCTTGACATAGCTTGCGTCACTGGTGCCAGCGGGGTGTAATGACCTGTAGTGGGATGTGCGTCCAATTAAGAATTGGGCTGCCACAGATCCGTCGTCAACCGCAGGGACACTGCCGTAGATAGTATCCGTAGCCACATCCTCTTGCCTTCTCGGAATGTTGAGGATCGGGTTGGGCGACAGTATCTGGCTTTGGAGAGTACGACCTTGGATAGCTCCCTTGGTACCATACTGGGTAGTGGCATCCAGTGTTTGCTTGAGTGTTTCGTCACTAGTTCCCGGAAAGAACCACCGAATCATTGGAATCTGCTCAGGGGGCCGCTTGCGGGATATGGGGGGCAGCTCAACACCGGTGTGGTGCTTGGCCCTGTTGTTCGACTTGAGAATGTCTCCATCTTCATCTTCAACGTCGCTGGAACTGTCATCATCATCGCTTGGTAGTACTGTCTCAACTCGTGGTCGTCTGTCAACGGAGGACTGCTTCTTGGAACGAGGTCGTCTAACTTCAGGCATCTTCCGAGTCCTTTTCTCCCCATCCTTCGTTGGGTCAGAGGGGCGGGTGGGACGGGAACGGGAGCGAGTACTTGGAGGCTCCCCACGAAGCTGGCCACGGGTTTGGACTCCAAAACAATGGCGTAAGTCCTCAGTGTCAGAGTCAGAATCATCACCAGAGGAGTCCGAGTCGTCAGCACCAGAGGAGTCGTCATAGGGGGACATAAGGTCGGGGACGCGAGCAAAGCACTGTCGGAGGGCCTCAACGTCAGAGTCATCCTCCAGGTCAGAATCATCGTCGGAGCTGGAGTCATAATGATGGCACTGGCGGGATAAGAGGGCGGGGACATCATCAGTACAGGCAGGGACCAGATCGTCTTTGACGAGGTCAGCCATGGCAGCGATAATACCGCGGCGGTCAATGGACTGCTTGGAGGTGGGACGGGATGGAGTCAGGGCATCGTCATCCAAAGTCTTGAGTCTGCCCAAGCTGTCTAAAGGGGAATCTGCATCGTCAAGGACGGTAGTACTTTGGGTGTCATACCAATCATCGGACGGGACCGAATCAAGGCACGAGGGGTCCCACGGGTGTGGGCTAGTCAAATCTATCAAAGGGATGGAGTCGTCTTCCATCTCAGCATCAGTGGGGGGCCGCCAGTCTACATACGGAAGTCCATTGCGCATGGCCATGGGGACTCTGAAACCATTGGGTGTGACAAAGTATGGGTCCACTCCAGTCATGGACTTGGCTTTCTCATGAACACAACAACCAAAGTGCTCCATCTGACCAGGACAAGCAATGGTACGGCCGTCATACATGACAGCACCCTGGTGGATGCGACCAAGGATGGGACCATGATCACTTCGCATGAACACAACCGCAGTAGCCAACTGGAGGTTTCGAACTGTGTGATTGTCAATACCATTCAAATCAATGAATGTACCAGATAAATTCACAACACGTACATCATTGCCAAGGATAAATCCATTGGCGCCGCGATCCATCAAGGCGCACCAAAGTTGTTTGCGGTGGTGGATGAAGGCTGAGTAGTACGATACACAAGGGTGGTTGGGAACACCAGGACCTAAGGGGGGGATAGGGGTTCCAACCCAGTCATCATCGGCGGAAGGTAGCGCCGCTGTGGGCTGACTGTGTGCTACCCCGCTGTCATTTGTCTCTGAAGGGGTTCCTTGGCTAGACCAGCTTGAGACAAAAGCTAGTCGCCGAGCCGAAAATCCGCTCTATCAGGGCCAGGCTTGGTAGAATGGGCAGCACCGGAGGCAATGTCATCGACGTTGTCCAGCATGCGGTGGAATGCATGGTGGGCGGATCGATAGCTCGGGTGGCTAGCAGCAAGGTTACCTTCGCGTGGCTTGGGTTTGGTGGCCATCATTCGAGCTGGGTGTGCCGGGTGCAGGTCATTTGACTTGGACTGGGGTGCCGAGTGGGATGGACCAGCTCCAGGCTTGGCTTGGGCTTGGGTGGCTTCCATGGTGGGTGGTAGTGTGTCATCCACTTGTTCAGGGCGATCCTTCTCCTCATCCTGCTCTACCATTTCAGAAAGGTGAGCCTGTCGTGCAGGTGGACCAGGCTTGGGTGGGGATGACTCCATCAAGATCTTCTTGGCCTGGGGGGACAGCCGGTGCCAGATGGACTTGTCTTCACGTGGGAGTTGTTGGAAGAACTCATCGGGCAATCGGGTGGTTGGGTCCATATTGGCATTGAATGCATCAATGCCTCCATCAGCTGGGGCCTCACTGTCTTGACCATCACAGTTGTCACCATCAATGTCATGCCAATTGACAGACCGACGGCGTGACGTTGCCCGGTTCCTGTCGTAGCTAACGGCAGTCACCTTGATAACTTCATAGTACTCCTCGAAGTTGTAACCGGGCTTGTGCTCCAAGGTCATGCGTTCAATCTCACGGGAGGTGACTGCATGGAGCAATGGCACATCGGAGAGAGCACGCTGGAGTAGTGTCTTCTTGGTTTCCTCAGTGATGCGCTCAGTCTTGGCCTTGACGGCGTCATTGTACCTCTTGAAGTTCCGATTGAACTTGACAATAAAGTCCAGTGCGGCTTGCTTGGAAGGTGCAAAGGTGGTGGTGGTGAGCCAGCTGTAGAGTTCAGCCTGCTCCAACCTCCCATCCACGGAAGCATGTGCATCAAGGCGGAGTGCTGTCATGATGGCCTGGCAATTGACATCATTGAAGTGCCTCTCCACGATCTCCTTGCCAACTTCAGTCTTGACCTTCTCCTGGAGGACACTGTAGAACCACGCCTGCATCCTGTCCAATTCAGCCTTGTCCTCCTGAGATTGTGGCTCATAGGTACCATCAATCACTCTGAGGAGGCCTTGTGCCCGCAAGGTCACACTTGTGTGGACAAACCAGTTGGTGAAATGCTTGGTCCTGGTCAACTCCTTGTAGGCATCCCTGTCTTGCTTGGGCTGAAACCTTCTGGTAGTGTTGGGTGGGCCAGAGCCACCACCAGCACCATTAGGCTCTCCAGGTCCACCAGGGTCTCCAGGTCCACCAGGGTCTCCAGGGCCACCAGGGCCTCCAGGTCCATACCTATTGCCCCCGTGGTTATGTCGTCCACCATTAGAGTCTCCAGATCCTCCAGAGCCTCCAGGTTCATCAGGTCCTCCAGGTCCACCATGGCCTCCAGATCTGGGTCTAGGGTATTGATTGCTCCTCCAAGTTCCACTGCGGTACACTTGATCTGGTGGTTGGTCAAGGATCTTAAAGGGGGTTTGATGGTTAGGCTCTGGTGAAGGTGAAGGGGTTGGAAGCTGGGTTGGGAGCTGGGGCTTCATGTGTTGTTCCCATTCACCTGTGAGGTGTAGGAACTGTCCATTGGGATACATCCTCCCCAACCAGTGCTCAGTGGTCATGGCTACATTGGAGGGTAGCTGAGAGGCATCAAGGGGGTGTGGGTACCGGATCCAGACTCTCTTCCCAACCCAATTGAGGCCATATCTGCCACTGTAGTGTGTCTGCTGGTCAGACGTTGGAAGATCAGGAAAGATGAGGTCTGGTTGCCTCGTGTAGTCAGTCTGTTGGATGGTGATCCTGGGGATGGTGAAGGGTGGAGGAGCCCCAGTGACTGGGGTGTACTGGAGTGGGTTTGGTTTGAATGCTTCCTCCTCCATGGAGGGAACCTTGACAGGAACCTTGGCAGGAACCTTGGCAGGGTGGACTCCATTGCCGGTGAGGTAGGTGGCAACATCAATGAAGGCATCTGCCTCCTGCTTCAAAGCAACATCACCTTCAGGCTGGTCTCCAGGCATGGTGTTGGGAGTGAGTGCAGTGGGTCCTCCTTGATTCTCGGCCAAGGGCTTGTTAAACGCCTTCTCCTGCTCCTCAACACCATGTTGTTCCTGGGCTACAGGGCGGATTGGTGAAGCCAAGCTTGGTTCATAGAACCTATGGCTGATCTCCATGGAGTCCAAGTGTTGTTGAGCCCTCGCATCAAGCTGATTGATGGACTTCTTCAACTGTTGGATGAATGAAGTCTCAAGGTCCTGGTGGCGCTCCTCCATGCGCTTGGTGAGAGTGGCAACATCGGCTTGCTGCGTCCTCAAAGCGGATCCATCAATCACTTGGCGATTGCCAATGGCTTCCACAGAAGCTTGCTGTGCCTCCATGTACATGGATGCTTGCTGCATCTCCAAACTCATAAGGATAGTTTGAAGCATAGCATCGGTAGTGGAGGAAGGGGTGGTGGCAGCAGGTGGGAACGATGGGGGATCCCTGCTTCCATCATGGTTGGAAGTAGCCACTGAACCATCAGCATCAACAGCAGGAGGATGGGTGAGGATGGTGGTGGGTGGCTGGTTGCCACCTTGAGGAGTGGCTGCAAGCTCTGCTGCATTGGCAGCTGCCATCCTCCTTTCCTTCCTCCTCTTCTTCTCAGACTTGTTTACCATGATGTGCAGTTGATATACTGACTGAAAGCTGAAAATCACGGGAACACGGCCGTAAACACATTGCGCAATTGTATAAGTCTTCGGAGGGAACTCTCTAAGTCTTCGAATTGATCCGGGGGCTTCCTGGATCGATCCTGATGTTCCGCGCGATCTTGAGGCTTCCGTGGAATCGTTCCAATCATTCCGAGTGACTTGGTGGATTTAAAAGCGCGAACCGGTACGGAACTCGTGGAACAGCGAAAACTGCACGGGAACCGGTACGAGAACTCGTGGGACAGTGAAAACTGCACGGACACTGGTGCGTTCCTTGGATTGTTCTTGTAGCTTCCCAGGCTTCGAAGAGTTAACAGTCGTTCGTGCCGTGACCGGTACAGGAACTCGTGAAAATGCACGGACGATCTGATTGGTTGATCGACGTTCCTGAGACGTCCAAGCGATCCGTGTGACCGTACCTCTGTCGTGGCCTCTAAGGCTTCGAGTGCACTGATGACTTGACTGGTTCCGTCTCACAAAATACGCGAAAATCAGTGCTTGTCCGTACGGAGCGTCGGATCAGTACGATTTCGCGAACTCGAGGTTGGTAGCTGGCTCGATTTTGACCTTGGGAGCCTTGCAGAGGGTTGTTCTTGGGTAATTCAGACCCTGCGGATCCACTGGTGATCTCGAATAACAACAGAAGTGGCTGTGTGGATCAGTTGGAGTCAAAAGGTAGGATTTCTTGGAGATCTCTGACTTGGACTCGAGCTCTGATTCACTGGGCCTGTTCGTCTGTAGCAATAGCTTCTCTTGTGATGCTATTGCGACTGTTTAATCCAATAACTTCTTGAAAGGATCAGGGTAGATCCACAAGAGATGAGGATGGCCGGCCTCCTTTGCTTACAGAGTGTCCAGCTCCTGGAGCTGGTACCGATGTTATTCTATCACGATGCTGGGCAGCCTAGGGAATGCTATCAGCTTACCTCTCAATGCCACTGCTCAGCCTCAACAGGATAGGTATCTACTGCAAAGGAACAAGGGAGCTACAGGTCTATGGAGATGGTATTCAATTCATACATTCAATTCTCAGGACTATGAGCAAAAAGCATGCATCCAAATAATTGGGTGTTATGCAGGATTTGAGCACTCTGAGCCACACTGAGGCTCCTGGATCCTCCTGAGGTCACCTGATTGAGTAGATGCTCGCCTCATGGCCATCTGTGGTGATACAGTGGTCAAAACCTTCATATGGGACCATATGGGGCTTCCCTGGTTCCATATGTATGGCCTGTGTCTCACCAGTACCAACCAAGATTCTCTATATCTTTGCTTGTTCCACATACCATGTGGGTACCAGTAACATAAGGCAGACAGTTTGTTCTCACACTCACCACGTTGATCCCATGGATCCAACCCACATTTTATCGTAAGCATGCCACGTACAAACTGTTATGTGGGATCGATTGATGTTTACTACTATGAGGATCGTATAAAGGCAGACGCATCCTGGGTCCCATCAAATAATTAAGAATGGTCAATTTAAAAGATTCATCATGAATATCTATATTGGTGGGTGTTGGCATCAGTTTCCCTCCACATTTCGGCCGGAAATGAGACCGAAATCTTGACCAAATGATGGCATATTCTTGACGAAAATGCCAAGGCAAGCACCAATCGAGTTAAGAAAAATTGCACTACGCTAAAAGCTAGTGTAAAGATCTTTCG